TATTTAAATATTAAATATCATAAAATATATATAAATATGTTTTAAATATATAAATATATAATATATAAATATTATAGAATTATATATATATAATTAAATCAATATTTACCTATATAAATATATATTTAATATCGATTAAAATTAAACGTCATTGTCAATTCGAATTTCGGCAGCCGTTTCTCGTGGATTCTCGCTTCATGAGGAGTCGGAACCGCGGTCTGTGAGAATGCTACATTGGTTGCCCTACTTTTGTCCTTGTTGTTGCTGGCAAGCCGGGTCCCAAGTCCGGGGGACATGAATCCTAATGCTCCGCCTTTTTATCCAGAGGATTCATTGTCCGGCGTGAGGGTTGCCATCCCCTCTTCACGGGATGGTGGAAGTGCAGTGCCACCTACTACAACCTCGAGAGCCTGCACAAAGGCCTGAAGTCTGGGCGATGTGTTGCATCCGTCTCGGATTCGCAGGATCAAAAGATCGTTTAGAAGGGCTTGCAAACGAGCGCTACAGGATGGTCAAACAGTTTATATACAGAGGCCAATGTTTTTGGGCTGCAGATGTCCCTTTCAGGCTACGTGGTACATTGAAGCAAGAACTACACCGAATTGCTTCTCCACCACCCCAAAGAGCGCAGTCCATGAATGGCTCTGCCTTGAAGATCCTTTCCTGGAACGCCTCGCGCAATTTGGATTACCACGAGTGGATAAGCTGGTGCAATGGATATCCTGCTGATCCAAGAATCAGGTTGGCAGTTGAACTGTCAATGGACCACCAATGTTTGGTATTGCATTCATTCCCAAGCGGCCTCCGCCAGCCAGTTGATTATGATACGCAAGACCTTGCTTCGTCCCTCACTTCTTGCTTACGCAGTCCTGATCCCTGGACGGTTGATTCATATTCGGCTCATGCTGGAAAGGGTCCATGACCTCTATACCGTCTACCAGACGGCTTGGAGTACTACCAGATCAGCACATGCCCTTCTTCACGATAGGCAGGACCTGTGGCAGAAATTGAGTCAGGATGTTCAACACACCCCCAATAGTCACATGTTGTTGATTGCTGGAGATTTTGACTGTCCACTCCAGGTTCATCCTCCATACATAGGCAGTTTTGATCCCAGGTATGCCAAGGCCCTCCAAACAGACAAACTGATCTTTCAACAACTTGTACAAGACCTTTCATTGATTGCCGTCCATTGCCGTCAGAAATATGTCCCAACCTTCCTCCATGGACACCGCCAAACTTGATTCTTCGTGAGGTTCAGGTCCGCTGGAAGCATCTCAGGGCTGTCGTAGATTGTAGGTTCGAACGCATTGGTCTCCATAATGGACCCCAACATAGGCCTTTGATTCTTAGTCTACCCAAATGGAACGCAGTTCGTAAGCCTCAGTCCAGTGTGCAACCCATCGATCGATTTCGATTGCGATAGGAGATGATCAACACCACTCCTAGGTGGCAGAAGTTTGCACAGGAAATTCAAAGTTGTTTCCTCAGATACCACGAGTCACCGTCCAGTGATCATCTACAGACTTGCCATTCCATGGAAACTGATATCCGTGCGTTGTGCATTGCACATTTTCCACTTAAGAAGCAGCTACCGTCTATGGATATACACATGAGGTCCCTGACTGCTCGTATGTGGTTTGCTAGACGCCAGCTCCGCATGGTGTTTATTATTAGTGTGAAAACCATGTTTCAGAGTTGGAGACATTCAATTACGTTCGCTAGAGTGCATGCACAGATTCGTAGGTATGGCCGACAGAACAAGCGCACAAAATTGCTTGGAAATAAGCGCGGCCGCGGGACCTTCCAGGTCCTTTCTTTGTTTTTCTCGATACGGACTTCGTTCGCCGTGCACTACAAGTTCACAATACTAAAATAGTTATTGCTTGTTTTCTGTTTTTATAGATAGATAGATGAATTTAGATTGTTATATATATATATACACAGATAGATGTAAATATTTATTTGTGCATTTATGTATTTAATCGTTATGTAGGGTGTAATTATTCTTTACAGATTATGTGAAATTGGTCGTGATAGGCGAAAGATTTGAATATGCCTTGGCATATATCGATCAATTTGGGGTGCAAACATGGGCGCTTGAATCTGTGCAAATAATGAACCTATGCAACACGCACATCCGCATAACGAACTATCTTACATCGAGGCTTGCAAAACACGTTATTCCACGATACAATCCAAACCTATTTCTTCTGCACTCCGGGAAGGGGCTTGCTGCTGCGTTGCTCCATAGGACTGAGGTCGGGTTGATGGAACTTTGCACCCCGGACCATCGTGCAAATTGCCTGCCAATAAAGTTTGCGAATCGGCGGCGGCTCCACACTTGCACTCACTGCTGTTTGGGTCCAAGGTGCATCAGCATTGCCGTTCAAAGGATGGAAAGCCTCTTCTTGGAAGGCCGACCTCCTTGTGTTTGTACGCAAGCTTCCGATGGCAAAGCCTTTAGAGTCCTACAAGTAAAAACAATTCCATGAAATTCTCGGTCCAATCGATCCTGTATTATCACAGTTTTAATACAGGGGCTATCACCACTGCCAGCTCCTCCAGTCTTTCAACTCTCAAGCCCAGTCGTGTGGCTGTTCGAAGAAATCCCAGAGTTGCCTTCTGAAGAGTTTCAAGTACACTGCAAAGTTTTTTCCAATCGCTGATCTCACATTGGCTCTTCTTCGCTTGGCTAGGCAGGCTGTCCGAGAAATCAAACAGAACCTGACGCCTAGAGCCTTCTCCAAAAGGATCAGGCAGTGCCTCGCACTTGTCGGGGTTGTGGTGGTTCGCCACATATGCTTCAGCTCCAATCCGCAAATGCTTCGCAAGTGCGTGGCAAAACATAGAGCCATCCTAAGTTGGAAAGCGAGTGCAGTGAGCCCGAGAACCCAAAAGCAGCGGAGTGCACAGTGCACTTACTTTGGCAGAGCAGAGAGAGGTGTGGCACAGTCAAGCGCCGGATAAAGTTCGACAAGACTGGCAACTATTTGCAACACCCACTGCACTCTGCGGCAGCCCCTTCCCAGCAGCCCCAACCTATTCCCCAGTAGCGGCCATTTCCACCAACGTTTCGAGCCCATTCAGCACATCTTGAGCGCCCGTTCTTTCAGGACAATCGCATTATTGATGAAGTGTGTCCTGAAAAAGCCCTTGAAGCTCTGCATCATCTACCACCTCTGCATGTTCGCGCTCGCTCTCTCCCGACCTCGGTCTCGCGTCTGTCTGCAGGTTCAACGACCACCTTCCGTGGCACGTGCCGCAAAGTACACGTCAAACCCTTTCCATCATCCTCCACAACATCCCTTGCGGTCTGCACGCCTTTGACCACCTCCCAGAGCCATCCTGCAAGGTATTACCACATCCAGAACATTTCAAACCCTTCCATCATCCTCCAACACCCGTTCCGCCAAATATTCTGCGGCCCGCGCGCCTTTCCACGGCTTCGCGACCACCGCCCTGGAAGGTATTACGACATTCCTAACAAAGCGCCTTCCGCAAGGTATTCGGCGTCCACCCTCCTGCGACGATGTTTCCTCGCTACACCAGAACCCAAGCATCAGAGATGCGTTTGGGCAAAATCACATAGAATGCATCCATCTTCAATTTGCTCTGCTAGAAAAGGCTGTGAAGTGGATGGATTGATGCAGTGTTGCGGGCGCTTGCTCGCATGCTTCCTACTGGATCTGGCCAAACTCAGTGGGCTGTGATCCTGGGTGCATTCCACTGATGGCCAGTGGTTGAGGGCAGCTTTGGATAATTTTTGGAGCACCGCCTATGAGGGCCAGCCCCGAGGACTCAATGATCTTCTAGTACAATCTTCTAGTAGCAGGTGCTCAACCCAAGTCCCCCAAGCCCTCCCTGGGAACTTTTGTACTGGAGCCTTCAAGTGAGAGCACCGAAGTTGATCCCGGATTGTCAGTTTGTCTTCTTTGCTTTGGCTGCCATTTGCTTTCGGCCATCGTCATAAACCTTTGCCTTTGATTTACTTGCCAATATGCATGCTTCGAACAACCAACGCAATTGGTGAGTCCTGAAGCCCTAGGCCCTATAGGCCCTATAGGCCCTGTAGGCCCTAGGCCTGCTATCGATGCACCACAACCGATTATGAGACATCGCCTTGTGGCTCAAGTGGATCGAACGCGTTTTTGTTAAGTATGCCAAGTGGAACGAACCGCCGTTTCAATCTGTGCTTATTGAGCCAAGTGTATGTGTGTATCCATGACCTGGCCATGCAACATTCCTATAATCATAAGCAAAATTGTTGGACTTGTATGGTCTCGATGCCATTGACTGCTTGCATTCAGCCCCTTCCCCACCATCTATGCTGGAGCGTCCCTCCCTGGCAAGTGAAACGAAGCATAGAGTGTGTTCAAAAAGACTCGACGTCAAGTCTCTCAATGTGCAAGAAGGAACCAATTCCGAAGAAAATGTGTCACCTTGCAAACAAGGGTCGCCTTCGTATAGCACATCCTGACACAGCAAGCTGAATTCTTCAACGCTCAAGAAACCCAACTTGAGGCCGAGGGTAGGTGGCGAAAGCTAGCAGGGGTGCATCCGGACTGGTGGGACATCAAGCGGAGTGAGGCAAATGCTCATGAGGTAAAACGTTGTGAACATGTAAGACACACAAACAGCAATGACACAGCCAACCTTAGAATTGAAGTCCCCGATAATTAAGGAAGCGTGGCTGGACTTTGCCACACTGTTCGATGCATCCGATGTGTTCACGAACCTGTGAGCTCGTTGAATCTGTTGCACCGTATCCCGGAGGAGTTAAGCCAAAGTGGATGCCATAAGAGATGCCCGAGAGGTGTCCCAGAGGCGTCCGAGGGGGGAGTTGAACCCACGGGGGGGGGGCCCCCCTACATATGAAGTTTTCACGTGATGCGGCGATCCCGAGGATTCCAGCCCCTCACTTGCTAAAGCAAGGACAACTCCAGCTAGCTGGTGCTAGCTTTCGTGATGAATCGCATTTGATGCTCATCGTTGCTGATTCATCGTTGCTGAGTTGCTGCTGCGACCACCAAATCCGGCAGTTGCTGCATAAAGCTTTTGCCATCTGCCCAATCAAGGCAGAATGTCTGCACACGATCACTGAGATTGTTGGCCTGGCAGATCGAACGGCCGCAAACGCGCCGCCGCAGCGGCAAAAAGCGCCGCAAACGGGATCTACAGGATTCGGAACTGAGTTCCTCCTTGCTGGCCTTTTGGCATTTTTGGCCTAAGGCTCTAACCTCAATATTTTTCTTCATAAGAAGAAGCAGCTCAGGTTCATTGTCAGTGATGAACACAGGCTCCTGGAGGCCAGGAGCAAATATATAGTGTCCATCCAAAGCTGCAACAAACTGCCAATGAGTCCGAGATTGGTTCGATTCCACTGCATCTTCAAAATCCCTTTGATCTCAATGCTGTCAAAGGACTGCACCCATCGATCCCAAGGTCAGACCGACCACACCAGTCCCGGCACCCAGCTCCAAACAAGACCGTCCTGCAAACATTGGATCATGAAGCAAGGCACTTGTTTCTAATAGCTTATTGTTTCTAATAGCGTCTTGTTACTACTAGTAAGGCACCTGTTACTACTAGTAAGGCACTTGTTTCTAATAGCTATCATTATATATATATAGTACAATCTATTCACAAATCTTTGTTCTCATGGAGTCATAGAATTTATACATCCAGCTGATCTTGCCATGTCCTTTGACGGGCGGGGCTGCAGAAGAAGTGGCAAAGAATTTTGAGAGCGCAAGGGCACCGGTCCACAGCAGGTTGCCATAGAGCACCTGCTCGAGACTGGAACAAAATCAATTGCTATAACTATAACAATTGAACTTTGTTCACACGTCATGTTCTTGTGGGGTTGCTGTTCCAAGCTGGTTCAGGATCTTTGAAACAAAGTTCTCCAAGACTTCAAGAACTGTTCCTGTTTGCCGCCTTGGCTTTGTGCGGACTCCCTTCGAAAATCACCACGCCCTCATCTGTACGTATTTCGGTGCCTGACCAAGCCCAAAATCAGCTTTGTTCAGTCTCTTCGGATGTGTCTAGCCGATGAAAGTGCGATTTCCTAATAGCGAACCTTGTTACTACTAGTAAGGCACTTGTTCCTAGTAGCGATGCACTTTGTTCCTAGTAGCTTCTTGTTACTACTAGTAAGGCACTTGTTCCTAGTAGCGATGCACTTTGTTCCTAGTAGCTTCTTGTTACTACTAGTAAGTAAGGCACTTGTTCCTAGTAGCGATGCACTTTGTTCCTAGTAGCTTCTTGTTACTACTAGTAAGGCACTTGTTACTAGAAGCGATGCACTTGTTACTAGTTTCACTGTGTTGCGACACTGCAGTAGAATCCATTGACCTGCCATTGGACGGCTGCACCGTTACACTGCATAGATCTGTGGAAAATCGGCAACTGAATTTGATCATGATTGCTCGGTCCAAGGCTACTGGAGCATGGTATTTACATGAATCAACTGCACGCTGAAAAACCATGAAAAAGCACTGCTTGCAGAATTGTCACACTTATCTGCTCCCGAAAAGGCCATTGGATGTTCAGTTGAAAGAAGCTGTGTCGAAGCTGTGTCGAATCGGTGTGGTGAGTGATGTTTGTGGTTTGAAGAGTCTGCGAGTACTTCCGCTTCACCGCATCCTTTGAACCAAAGCTGGCTCCTACAAAAGCCGGTTTGCAAGAAACAAAAAAGAGGACAAAAAAGTGGTTGCGCTTTGCCAAACCCCACCACACAAGTTCCTTTGGAGTGCAACCTTTTCACATGTTCAGATGTTCAAGTCCCAGGTTTCTGGGACACGAGCACTATGTGCAGTCATGGCTTCATGACAGCCATGCAAGGACCGGCTTCCCTAACCAGTCCTTGCGTGGCTTCCATAAAGACTGAGTAGACCTCGAAAAGTCTTTTCCAAAGAAAAGCATGGTCTGACTGGGGGAAGGGATGGTGATATTGGTGCATATGGGCTATGTCTTTAGTTGTGTTCTGCAGTGGCCTTCGCGTCACAACCTCCAGACCAACCCAACATTGCCTTTGGCTGGGGTAATTTTGCATGACTGGGTCTCAGTTCAAACAATGTGAGTGCACATGGAAGGTGTCGAGGTTCACAGTAAATGTGGTGAGCCTCGAGCCAAGAAATGCAAGCATTTCAACACCCTATGATGATTGATCCATTTAGCCTATACTAAATGCAAAGAAAAGTTGATTTGACAGTTGATTTGTAACCCCGGTATCATACGCATTTCTGGACTCAGACAGGTGGACAGGGAAAAACAGCAAAGGATGCCGCTTTGCTGCAGCTCTGCTGCGCCTACTTTGAGACGTGAGACTGTCAACCGTCAGTCGTCCCACCTGGACGGCAACGACTCAGAGCAACAACGCAAAGCACTGAGAACGTACGACTCGGGCAATGGCCTCAGTGCATTGGCTACGTTGGTCGACAACTGTCGGTGTTGTGTGGCCTTGATCTTGGACACCTCGGTCGCTCCACCCGATGCACGCTGCTTGTGACACTTCAGGCACATGACACTTCAGGACGGAGCCTCCGCGATGCGGTGGGATCCAAGTTCCACTCCAGCTTTGCAAAGCTTGGCAAAGTTTTCATCGACCTGCCAAGTGAAGCTTGATTGCACACGACTCTTCGAATGAAGGGACCTCAAACACTTCTCTTCGAATGTATTTCATGAAATGTCGCAGGTCACACCACAAGAATCAAACCTTGATTGATTCGATAGATTTATAAGGATATGTACGTTACATTGTCATTGATAGCAAGTGTAGTGTGATGAACTGAAGGCTGTTCTTCAACAACTGCACCAGCGCGAACTTCCTGACCGAAGCTTGCAAACTTGTGCAGGCGATACGGCCAAACGATTCTCACGATCCTCTTTGGCCTGCACAAATCACGAGCAGCATGGGTCTTCTTGGATTTGCGTTTGAATGCACACGTTGACACCCTGGAAACCATGAGCGCTATACAATCTGCATCGCACCCACTACAAGAATGAGCCTGAGCATCAAGATTTGAATGATTTGTGACCATCCGGACACCTTGACCAGAAGTGTGCCTGGCAGAGCATGCGCAGCGAAATTAGGCCATTTAGCAACACTGATCGAACGTGCAAGTTGGCCTCCCTTTCATCTCATGTTCTGTCTTTCGACGAGGGGACTTGTATCCGTCCTGTATCCACCACATCAACAACAGCAACAACAACAACAACAACATTGACTCTGCAAAATTGATTTTCCTGGATCATTGGCATTAGCAATGTATTTTAACAAGATGTCCTGCCCCTCACCAGCGTCACCGGTGATCGGATTGCGGCCTTAATAGAATCACGTCCCTACGAGCCCACACAGCTAAAAACATTAAAATTAAAGGCGCCACAATCAGGGTTGCAAACCATGACAAAAGGAGTTTTTGAAGGTAGTTCAGCGTTGAATGGCATCAAAACTAAGGGCAAAGCCCTGGTTTGGTGGACAAGACCTTGCAGCTCAATTGTCTGACAAACACATGCTCAAGACTGCCTCATGGTGGCATTTGCTTCTTCAAGCGCATTCCACCGTCCTTCAAAAAAGAGAACAATGTATTTTTGCCTCTAAAAAATGTTGCAAAATTGGCTTATAGACTTATACTTGAGGCCAAGGGGGGGGGCGAAAGCTAGCGCTCCAGAATGGGAAAGTGGAGGGCAGCGAGGTAGGAAAAAACACGGCGCTCTTTTTGGAGGCAGGGGTGAAGAGTCCTTTATATGTGGCTCTTTGCCCGGATCCTCCTGCGAGAGAAGAGAGAGAAGAGAGACGGAAAGACGAGAGACAGAGAGGAGAGAGAGAGAGAGGAGAGAGAGATGAGAGAGATGAGAAAGAGATGAGAGAGATGAGAGAGATGAGAGAGATGAGAGAGATGAGAGAGATGAGAGAGATGAGAGAGATGAGAGAGATGAGAGAGATGAGAGAGAGACAGTGAGACAGTGAGACAGTGAGACAGTGAGACAGTGAGACAGTGAGACAGTGAGAGTGAGCGAGTGCGGCCGCAAGATACGCAACGCTAACCGCATGCCAAAGAGCGACGACAGGACGGAGTCGAACTTGCGAAGAGGGAGGAGGGAGGGAGGGAGGGAAGGTGGGAGGAAGACAAGG